GTACCGCCGACACATGAACGCATTAAACAAGTTGCAACAGAGACACCTTAGACAACTCTTAAGAATCAAATGGTTCCATCACGTCTCAAACGTATCGGTTCTTGAAAATGCTAACTGCGAGAGTATTGAAGTCATGGTTACAAAATCCCGACTAAGATGGGTTGGTCACGTATGCAGAATGCAAGAAAACCGCATACCAAAATCACTGCTTTACGGTGAGCTTGTAGACGGTAAGAGGATGCCAGGTGGACAACTCAAAAGGTACAAGGACATTTTCCACGAAAACTTAAAGGGGATTAATGTGCAGAATGAGTGGGAAGTAGCAGCTCACAATAGAACGCAATGGAGAAGAATTATAAACTCAGTTAACAGCGAGAACCAAAAAGTTAAGAGGCAACAAAGCAATGAGATTTTTGAATGTCCGGAGTGCGGTAGAAAAATAACATCACGTATTGGGCTTTTCAGTCACAGAAAAGCTCATAAAAGAAAACGCCTTGCGTGACCATCTTCTGATGCGTGTCAAATACTCGTCAGCGAGTAATGGCAGTATGTATGTATGTATGTAACTTTAAATAGAATATTTTAGGCTGTTTCTGTTTCTGATAGACCTCTAAAAGAAAGCCCTTATTTGGAGAAAATCATTTTAGAAAAATATATTTTACTTCTTTATTTTTATGGGTTGAGTTGTACTTTATTACAGAATTTACATAAAAAATATAATCTTTGTTCGCTTTTAGGTTTTATATTTAATTATTTGTTCAGGCGAAAGTGCAGAGCATTAAAAACGCTCAAAAAAGCGTAATAACGCTCCTAACATGGTTTTATGGGTGGAAAATGGGAAAAAAATAGAAAATGGAATTATAACGAGTTGCGCGCATTTGCGAAAAGCGCTAGAAACGGGAAAATCAACAATTATTAACAGAAAACGCTTCGTGAGCTTAACATTATCCATAGTTCAACATTTAAAAACCACACTTTTAAGATTAACTGGTAACTGGCGAAAGTATTAAATAAATAGGTACCTATTCATTGATTCCTCATGAAAAAAAGTTTGAAAAAATATTTTTATAAACATGGGCGCGGAGCATAGTTCTAAAAATACAAGATGTTAAAACTTTAAAAATAGGTATTTTGTAATTACCTTATATGCCACTATTTTCTTTTAATTTGCTATAGGTTGCACTGAACATAATTGTTATAAATTTCCTTAAATTTAAGAGTTCCCATTAATTAGTATGTAGCATAATATTCGTATATATTTGATACCCAATTAAACTTTTAGTTACGTAATCCAGGACGCGATTTTTAAATTCATTGCAAACTATAGTCATATTCGGCGCTGGGCTCACTCACGGGAATTTACATTTCCCGCTCGAAATAGGTGGTATAGTCTGTGAAACGAATAACTTTGAATTTGACACTTCCCGCGGGCTTTTCTAGTGTTAATTTTATTAGGGGTTAGCAACTTGCGGCCATGCTGACGCAATGCCGTCTCTAATAGAACAGCCTCGGAGCGAGATTTATGACGTCACGCTAACATAATTATTCCTTATATTTTAGTGATGGGCAAAACTGTTATTTTTAGATAACAGTTGAAACTGTTATAGTTATTTATAAAAAACAGCTTAAAATAACAGCTTAAAAATAACAGGTTTCTTTATTTTACTGCTAAATATCTGAAAGAGTATGAGGCGGTCACCGCCAGGCGTATTAACGCAGTTGCAAGTTGCAACAATTTTATATGCAATTTTTGGATTATATTCGACACTATTTTTTTATATGACACAACACTGATGAAGGCTATAATGTTAGCCGAAACGTTTTTTTAAACCAAAAAAATAATGAAAACCAAATGAAAACTTAATCAGCGTTTTTCCCGAACCTAAATCCCAAGAAAATCAAGAATTTTAGAATAATTTTACATTATAAAATGACAGCGATCTTTATTTCATAGCCATCGCTGACGCATTTTTTCTATGATATTGTATTATTTGCAAATATAATTTTTAATGATACTTGCAAAATATATGTACATATAAATTTTGTGAATGCAAATAATAATACATCACTATTAGTATATATTGAATGTTTTTTGTTAAATTAGATCGATTTTCAAGCCCCAAAATTTAAAATATATTTTACATTTTACACATTATCTTATGTACCTATTCATTATATGTATATTGTAAAACATTTGCTGCATTTGTATGGTTCATAGTTTATTTGCCAAAGTATTTATTACTATAAATAGGTATATATTATATTTATTAACTGTATATTATGTATATTTCATGTAAACTATATCATTTTTAAAATACAAACCAAAAATACGAGGAATAATTATGTTTTCCATGTATTCTACAACATATTTATTAATCCGTATCTAATTAGCGTGACGTCATAAATCTCGCTCCGAGGCTGTTCTATTACAGACGGAATTGGTCTGATATTTAGAAATGTCAAAAGCTGATGACATTTTACTTTTGACAATTATGCCATTTCGTGTTGATTTTTGCAAGAAGAGGAAGAACTGTCACTTGTTTTATTATTTTCCTTTTCTATTTCACGTAAGTAAAAAGAGTTACCTATCTGATTCGTTCAGGCACTCAATTTAAAGAATACTTAAAGAATATCAGTAACTTTTTTGACAAAGGGGTTTTATATTTGCCATGTTGGTAAAAAATAACGGTCAAAATTCAAAGTTATTCATTTTATAGACTATAGCGCTGCTGTAAAAAATGTGAAGTTGCCATATTTATTTATTTATTTATTTCTTGATATTGTCATTCGTTTTGACACTTTAGTTTTGTATTAAAGATTATTTTTTGAAAAAAATGTCTATACCTATGTGGCGGATTCATCTCTCCAAAAAATCCTTTATGGGTATTTCGCCACTGCACTGCAAGAAAATCTACAAAATAAAATAGTTATTTTTTGTAAACACTTCTCCGTTAAACCTAAACGGACACTGCTTATCAGAAGTTATGTTTACAGTTATACAAATTTGCCTAACAAAGAAAAAAATGCTTAACGTTTCGGAAAGTTTATCTTTTTCTGTCGTCGCGCATCGGAAGCAAAAAAAAATACAAAGAATAAAGAAAAAAACTATTTAAAATATTTAAATTCAACTATTCGAGAACACTTTACTTTTTTAAAACAGATACGTCTACAAGAAACTGTTGACGTTCTGTTAAAATGACATTATATCAAGTTAAACTTCAAAATTAACAATTACTACCTGATAACAATTACTTAATAAGGTAAAACCAAAAAGCCCCAAGCTTTCTGTATAATTATTTTTAAATTTTACGTATGTTATGTTTATTTATGTTATGTTCTTTAAAATCAAAGAAGCGATTGCCATACGTTACTAACATCTACAGATGCATGAGCAAGACATTTATTTTTATTAGATTGAATTAAAAAAGCCTCTTTTATTTTTCTTTTAGAGGCTATCGCTTCTTTTATTCTTCTTATTAAAATTCATTCTGTGTTTCTTAATTAATCTTTATGTTTTTTAATTCTAACATTTAAGGGTCTAGATGTTTCACCAATGGAAAATTTATCGAATTCTCATGGTATTTGGTATATTACATTTTTTGTTTGTTGTTCTGTATTCATTGGTTTAGTATGTGATAAAATCGATCTAAGTGTATTTTGTGTTTTGAAAGATGTTCGTATGTTATATTGTTTTCCTATCCTTCTTATTTTTTCCGAAACGCCTCGTATGTATGGAATTCTAAGTTGTATATATTGTGTATTGTTATCATTGTGTCTATGATTTGGGGTTTGTATTTCGTTTAATGTTTTGTCAATAAAATATGGTGGATAATCGTTTTTTTTTAATGTATTTTATGTGGTTTATATCTCTGTTTAGTGAAATGTCGTCTGTACATATTATTTTTGCCCTATCATATAAACTTTTTATAACACCTTTTTTTACACTTATACTGTGATTAGATGTGATATTTAAGTATCTATCTGTGTTTGTGGGTTTTCTGTAAACATCTAAAATTAGTTTATTTTGAAACTTTGACACAAAAACATCAAGAAATGGCAAACGCTATTAGGTACCTCTCTCTACTTCTAAAGTAAATTTTATGGTAGGTTCGCGAGAATTTATATAATCCAAAAAAATGTCTATTTCAGAAACGTTATGTTGCCATATTACAAAAATATCATCAACATAACGCAGCCATATTACAGGCTTTTTTGAAAAACTATTTATTGTATTATTTTCAAAATCTTCCATAAAAATATTACTTAACATAGGAGAGAGAGGTGATCCCATTTCCATACCGAAATCTTGTTGAAAAATGTCATTATTTAATTGAAAATAAGTACTTTTAACACAAAGTGTCAACAATTCCAAAATACTATCTATGTTTAATTTTGTTCTATCTATTAAATGTGTATCATGTTCTAATCTATCCCTAACTATTTTAAGTGATTTATCTACCGGCACATTAGTGAAAAGACTAACAACGTCAAAACTAACCATTAAACTGTTAGGTTGTGTAATAACAATATAACAATATTAATTTTTGAATTTTTTTTCTATAAAGTGTGGTGTGTTTTTAATGTATGAATCGGTGTTATTTGCAATCGGATTTTATATGTCTAGTAAAAATTTTGGTAACGGATGGCATGGAGAATTTATACTACTGACTATAGGTCTAAAAGGTATACCCTGTTTATGTATTTTCGGTAAACCGTATAAATGAGGTAGTTTACTGTAATGGGGTGTTAATAATCCACATTACCTTCCTTGTATACCGAACGGCTCTAGCATGGCAAGCTGTACCTTGCTATTCCCAAGGCGTTAAACGCTATATACGGGAGCTATTATTATTAAGTTTAATACATATAAGTACCTAACATACGATTTTTTTGATGGAAAAGGTTATTTGACAAGAAAATGAATATATTTTGTAGTCTAGCCATGTAAGAATGTTAAATCTATGGATCGCGATAACTAAGCCACCTTTTTAATATTCCAGAAGATGGCTAGCGATTCAGGATCGATGCTCCACTTCACCAGCCTCACCGATAACCAAGCAGGAACCTACAGCTGTCACGCCACTTACTCCAATACCGAACATTTATCCGCATCTGTGGAAGTCAGCACGTTCGGTAAGTCGATTTATCTTGGAATATCGAAAAAGTTTTGATTGCACAGAGTTGCCAATTTTATGATTTTTCCCTAAATTTGGAGAAATATGTTAGTGATGGTAAAACGTTAAGTAATTCGATTTATCTTGGAATATCGAAAAAGTTTTGGGATTGACGCCTATAAAAAGTTTGAAGCGTTGCCAATTTTAAACTGTTTCCTGAAATTTAGGAAAGAGTTGTTGTAGTAGTTGGTTGAAATATTCAGTCGATTTTATCTTGTAATATTCAAAAATTATTAATAACTTTTATACAAACTTATTTTAGAAATTGTATCGAGTCTAACCGGAAATTTTAAAAAATATGCTCAAAATCGTGTTAACTGTATTATGTAAAATATAAAATACGATTTAGAATAAAATAATGGATATTCTAAATTTTATGATTTTTCCTTAAATTTGAGGAAATATGTCGATGAAGGTAAAACGTTAAGTAATTCAATTAATCTTGGAATATCGAAAAAGTTTTTCGATTGACGCCTTAAAAAGTTTGCAGCGTTGCCAATTTTAAACTATTTCCCTAAATTTAGGGAACAATTCTGGCAGATGGTTAACACGCTCAGTCGATTTATCTTGGAATATTAAAAACTTAACGTGCAAAAAAAGATCTATTCTCATTCAATAACTTTTATAGAAACTTAACTTTTGAATTTGTATCAAGTCTAGGCTGAAAGTTTAAAAACTTTTCCTTAAAACTGTGTTAACTGTATTATAGAAAATACGATTTAGAATTAAATAATGATATTCTAAGACCTCCCCTAAGGCTTAGAAATTTCTTAAGAGACTCTTAGTGAAGTTGTTGCTTCGGAAGTTTGCCTGGAGCCTGGCGTTACACGACTCTCATTAATTTTAATAACCACAAGAAAACTTTATCAACTCCCTAAACAAACTGATTTTGGGAAAGATTTAATAGACAAATTTATATGTGTTTCTTCTGTTTGATTATGGTGGACAGGGTGCCAAAAATATCAAGATTTTTTCCAAAAAATTATAGATTTTTTAAAATCAGATTTTTGTGGTTTTGATCAGACTTTCTTGATTATAATCAATATTTTTTGTTATTTAAAATAGATTTCCATTATAATTAACGATTTACTTCCAAGTCTATCCCAAATGGTTACATCTTCGTAACTCTGTCCGTATGTTGGCTGTTGCAATGTATGTTTTTTTTTCTTTTTCAGTGGACATAAGTTTTTTAGAAGCCCCTGAAAATCAGTACCCAATAGCAGGGAGCCATTCCATCATCAAATGCAAGGTAAAAGGTAACCCGTACCCTATCATCGAGTGGTACAAAAGTGATACCATAATAGATGAGAATACGCCGAGATACCTGCCGAAGAATGACGGTCTCTATATTACCAACGTCACAGAAGAAGACGATGGACTGTACAGGTGCACAGCCACAGTGCCTCAGACTGGGGAATATAAAGAACGAAATATCAAGGTAAAGAAACAATTTTAAGTAAAATATATTATTAGGTTTTGGAACACTATCTTTTAAACATAGTTAGGTTTCTGGAGAAAATCTAGGTTTTTTCCACTGGAAAAGAAATCTACAAAATATAAAAATGTTTAATCCAAACTAACCGACAAAAAATACTTAACGTTTTAAGAGGTAGTCAGGTGCAGAAAGACACAAAGAAAATGAATATAATAAAATGGCTTGGAAAGGCACAAAGATAAAAGAAAAAACTATTTAAAATATCTATATGAAACCATTCAAGAACATTTTCGTTTTTAGCATACATTTAAAATAAATAAATATATTAAAAAAAATGTATAAATATAATATATAAATAATTATATTGAACAAGGATTGAACGTAAACGGTTTATAACAGACGTAACTACTCAAAACTAAAATGTTCTTAAATAGTTGTATTTAGATTTTTTAAATAGTTTTATCTTTTTTCTTTGTATTTTTTTTTGTTTCTAGCGACAAGAAATATACCTCCTGAAACGTTAAGCATTTTTTCTCGGTCAAGCAAATCTTTTACTAATAAAAAAAACGCTGACAAGTTGATTTTCATTTGGATTGAACGTAGTTGTGTTTACAAAAAAGAAAACTTTTATTTTTTAGATTTATTTTAGCTGACATACACCCAGCCATTGTTTCTAAACGAATTCTTCACAATTATGCAGCAGAAATTTCTAAAAAGAGTCCCCACACGCCCATTCCATTGATTCTTAATTTCTATTGGTGTATTGCTTCCAATATAATTCAGACTCAATTAGAACTAGTTTTGTTTATAAAAATAGAAACATATTTTTGAAATCAAGTAAACAAACTCGAAATTCGAATTCCACCAAACAGACTGAAACCGCGGATTTTGTTTTGGAAATGTTTCCTGTAGTTTCAACTAGACGAGTTTTTATCATGCCTTCTTTATTTGACAATTTATTCATCATTCTATGTAGACTTTTAAGGTACAATTTCCTAGCGACGTGTATGACACCGTAAATGTCTAAAACTATAAGTCCAAAGTAATTGAGTGTAAAAAAGCAAACGCAGAAGAGATCCAGGGTTGTAAGCCCGTACTTCCGAAGCCTAATTACCGATTCGTAAATTTAACCACATTTCCATGAGGTTCCCTCTCCTAGCTGCCGATGGCACATTTCATTTGGATTCATTAAACTGCCTATTTGGACGCAGAAACTCTCCGACTTTCGATACGATAATGCAGTTATTTCGAAACAATCTGATATTAATTTGATGGTCTAATTTACTCGTTGGTCTAATTTACTCGTAAAATTAAGAAATTTTGATGAAAATTTACTACTGAATATACTGAAATTAAACGATTTAATGCTAAAGTTGTACCTTTACTGAATTAGAAATTAAAATCATTAAGGCTTAAAGTTAAACAGACTCAGTTAGAACTAGTTTTGTTTACGAAAACACAAAATGTTTTTGAAACAAAAGTAAATATGCTCGAAACTCGAATTTCACCAAATGGACTGAAAGCGCGGCTTTTGTTTTGAAAATGTTTGAAAATACGAATGAAAATATCTTCTACTCTTGATATATTATTTAATATTTTATGTGGATTTTTATAATACAAAGTAACTGAGTGTAAAAAAGCAAACTTGGAAGAGACCCAGGTATTGGAAGAGTTCATTTTTAAGGCAACGATTAGATTATAGAACTAGTAAAATCATGACGGACTTGATAAATACATTACAAACTAAGATCATCCACAGGCAGACCACAACTAAGCATCGGAGTGACTGAAATTTTCGTGGGTATCTTCCAAGAGAACCGCAAACAATTTGTGCGAATTCTCTGGCAGGAATGTAGCTGTGTAAAGTCGGAACATTGTCAAATTGCTTCTTCTTCTTTCTCTGCTTATCCATTAATGGATGTCTTTCCTATCTCTGGAGCGGCTTCTCCCTATCTCTGGCTGTGTGGATCAACGTCTATATGTTACTAATTACTTACGTATTTCTATTTGGATCAGTCCCTATCAATCAAATATGGCAAAATAATTATATATGCAATATTTTCGCTGCTCTTAGCCTTCAACGATGTTATATATCCTGATTAGGCCATTGGTAGCCAGACAAAATGATGTTTATATCCAGTTGTAAGCCCGTACTTCCGTAGCCTAATTACCGATTCGTATATTGAACCACATTTCCATGAGAATCGAGCCAGGTTGACTGGCTGGCTTTCCTCTCCTAGCTGCCAATGCTGCCACATTTCATTTGGTTTCGTTAGGCTGTCTATTCGGACGCAGAAATTCTCTGACTTTCGAGACGATAATGCAATTGTTCCGAAACAATGTGATATTAATTCTATGGTCTAATTTGCTCGTTTAGCTCTAAATATGAAATTTTGATGAAAATTTACTACAGAATATACTGAAATTAAACAATTTAATGCTAAGCTGTACGTTTACTGAATTAGAAATTAAAATCATTAAGGCTTAAAGTTAAACATAGACTCAATTAGAACTAGTTTTGTTTACGAAAACCCAAAAAGTTTTTGAAACAAAATTAAATAAGCTCGAAACTCGAATTCACCAAATGGACTGAAACCGCGACTTTTGTGTTGAAAATGTTTGAAAATATATTCTACTCTTGATATATTATTTAATATTCTATGTGGATTTTTAAAATCCAAAGTAACTGAGTGTAGAGACCCAGGTATTGGAAGAGTTCATTTTTAAGGCAACGATTAGATTATAGAATTGGTAAAATCATGATGGACTTGATAGATGAAGTCGGACTTGAGAAATAAATTACAAACTAAGATCATCCACAAGCAGACCGCAACTAAGCATCGGAGCGGCTGACATTTTCGTGGATATCTTTCAAGAGAACCGCAAAAAATTTGTGCGAATTCTGTTGCAGAAATGTAGCTGTGTAAAAGTCGGAACATTTTCAAATTACCTACGTATTTCTATTGAGATCAGTCCGTATCAATCAAATATGGCAAAATAATTATATATGCAGTATTTCCACTGCTTTTAGCCTTCAACGATGTTATATATCCTGATTAGCCATTGGCAGCCAGACAAAATGATGTTAATATCGAGTTGTAAGCCCGTACTTCCGAAGCCTAATTACCGATTCGTAACTTTAACCACATTTCCATGAGAATCGAGCCAGGCTGACTGGCTCGGTTCCCTCTCCTAGTTGCCAATGACATATTTCATTTGGCTTCATTATGCTGCCTATTCGGACGCAAAATACTCTCCGACTTTCGATACGATAATGCAGTTATTCCGAAACAATCTGATATTAATTTGATGGTCTAATTTGCTCGTTTAGCTCTAAATATGAAATTTTGATGAAAATTTACTACAGAATATACTGAAATTAAACAATTTAATGCTAAGTTCTACGTTTACTGAATTGAAATTAAAATCATTAAGGCTTAAAGTTAGACAGACTCAATTAGAACTAGTTTTGTTTACGAAAACACAAAATGTTTTTAAAACAAAATTAAATAAGCTCGAAACTCGATTTCACCAAATGGACTGAAACCGCGGTTTTTGTTTTGAAAATATTTGAAAATATCTTCTACCCTTGATATATTATTTAATATTCTATGTGGATTTTTATAATCCAAAGTAACTGAGTGTAAAAAAGCAAACGCGGAAGAGACCCAGGTATTGGAAGAGTTCATTTTTAAGGCAATGAAGATTATAGAATTGGTAAAATCATGACGGACTTGATAGATGAAGATGGACTTGATAAACACATTACAAACTAAGATCATCCACAGGCAGACCACAACTAAGGTTCGGAGTGGCTGAAATTTTTGTGGATATCTTCCAAGATAACCGAAAACAATTTGTGCGAATTCTATTCAGGAATGTAGCTGTGTAAGGTCAAAATATTTTCAAATTACCTACGTATTTCTATTGGGACCAGTCTGTATCAATCAAATATGGCAAAATCATTTTATATCCAGTATTTTCGCTGCTCTTAGTTTCAACGATGTTATATATCCTGATTATGCCATATTGGCAGCCAGACAAAATGATGTTTATATCGAGTTGTAAACCCGTACTTCCGAAGCCTAATTATCGATTCGTAACTTTAACCACATTTCCATGAGAATCGAGCCAGTCTGACTGGCTAGGTTCCCTCTCCTAGCTGCCAATGACACATTTCATTTGGTTTCATTAAGCTGCCTATGCGAACGCAGAAACTCTCCGACTTTCGATACGATAATGCAGTTGTTCCGAAACAATCTGAATATAATTTGATGGTCTAATTTGCTAGCTTAACTCTGAATATGAAAATTTACTACATAATATACTGAAATTTACCAATTTAATGCTAAGTTGTGCGTTTACTCAATTAGAGATTAGAATCATAAATACGGGTTTCTACCCATCAAACTCCATTAGAACTAGTTTTAGCAACTCTCGGACAGATACATGTTTTTGAAAAAAAAAACTCAAATTAAAAATGTGTAAACAAATTAAAATTTGATTTTGCAGGTTGAAGTTCTTGTAGCACCTAAAGTGAAACCGATGGAGCCGGTGTCTGTTGTAGAGGGTGAAACAGCGTCTGTCATGTGCTCAGCAACTGGAAAACCACCGCCTATCTATACCTGGATTAAATCGGATTTGAGGAACGATCTTTCCAAGACCGATAGATTTTTTGTTAAGAATACAACAGGTAAGACGAGATTATAATATCATTATCCCGTATATAGTGTGTTTTGAAACAAACGGGTTCAAATTGCATTACTAAATTCGTAGATAGCTACTACTGTTGATTGAAGAAATAAGAAGATGCGCAATCTTATGAGCGATTTCGTGGCACAAAACATGTCCGAGATGTGGCTGACGTTAGTTTAGTTCTGCGCCGCTGCGCACTGATAGTCGTTTAGAGCGCAGCGGATAAAGAATATTGTACCGTAATTCTGCTTTCAGCCGACACAGTGGGTGGTTGTCGGAGACAGTGTTGCCAGAACTACGGATTAATCCGTAAATCAGCCCTGTCACGAATTTGCTCTTTAAGTTGTGTATCTTCCCAATTCTTTCAATCAGCGCTACTACTTAAGTAAAGGTAGACAATGGTGAACAATGAAATCAAACATCCTCTGGAACTGACATGGTTTTGAATTTTTAAATTTACTTATATCACTAATCGTTAACAAGGAAAAACTAAACTAACATCACGACTACTCATGTCTACGACTCAAACTCAAAATAAATGAGCCATAACGAAATCACTGTAATCTCAAATGCTTCAGGCTGCGATACGGGATTTAATTTTTGCACTAATTACTCGATATAAGTTGTATCGAAAGAAAGATAAAATTAAAACCTTTCAAAAGCAAGACCTTTTTCTATGAGGTTATCCATGACAGTAGTTTAAGAAAATTTAGTGTTTTCAGCCAAGAACATAATAAGTCTTCAGAGCCTTTGATTTATTAAACATTCTAGTAATAATCATTTATTACAGGTGAATTGATAATGAACAGAGTTGAATTCGGCGACGACGGTTACTACAAATGCAAAGCAGAAAACATGGGAGGCAGAGACGAAACAACCGTCAAAATCAACGTCTTGGTTAAACCAAGAATCTACGAACTGCTCAACGCAACAGATGCAGTGAGTAACCAAACCAGATTGGTGTGCAAAGTCAAGGGCAGGCCACCACCGAGAATTACCTTCAGAAAGCTGAGTAATCCACAACCTTTCAGACTGGGTGCACAAGATAATGACCCAAGGATTGTATTGGAAAGGCAGTTTTTTGAAGCCGAAGGTATGATCACTATGATTTTAATATCTGGGGGCACAGCAGTGCTAGGGCATGAAGTGGTGTAAAAATGAGACATTTTTCAAAACATTTAGTTTTTTTCTTACTCACAGCCATTTAAATACAAAAGTATTTCTTTCTTTAATGCCTTTTACAGAAGGGGTAGAATGAATGTAGAATATTTAGGAGGGGGGGTTAATCACCGCGACCTTACAGATCTATTGTGTGTTCTCCTTTTTTGAGTTATAACGGGTTATAACTCATCATACAGTCTCAGGGCTTTGACAGAAGCCAGTATCTGAGACGGCTCCACAGAGGCCAGCTCTATATCTTCGAATTCGGGGTAACGAAACTACTGCAATACACCAAAAATACCCCTAAAAAATAGCCCACAAGATGACACATGAGATAGGTAAGGTAAGATATGAGACAGTCACAACAGTTACATCTCCGCTGCTGGCTAACTTTGCTGCCTTTTTAAGATCTTTTTTCTATATGTATACTTGTTTGGTTTTTTACATCTTTTTTCTTATTTTTTGAGTTCTCACTAAAATTTAAAAATATACATTCTACACTCAGACGCAAAAAAAAACGCAACGGAGAAATGTTTGGTCAAATTTTAAGTGTTATTTTTGTTATTTTTAGCCCTTATTTCATGGTTTATTTAGCAAACTGTATATAATTTTATCAACTTTTTTACTAAGTTTTTAATAAACTTTAGTATTTGGCTTATTATACAGGGTTAATCCATGGATTGGTTTATTACCCTAACTTTAAAACACCCTGTGCAATAATTTCGTTTGTAAATTTTCCTAAAATACAATGGTACGGTCAGAACCATAACTCCTGAGCATTTTGTTTTTTGATTCATGTCAATACATGCTTTGGTTAATTTTTAATACCGAAATGAACTGATCGCGATTAATTTGCAATTTTTTCAATTATCATTATTTTTTGATGTCATTTTTTAATATGATGAGATGGTTTTCGTGACTATTGTCGTAACGTCATATTACGCTGCATTAGATACACTATAGGTACTAAATTTTAAAAAAAAAACATTAAAGACTAACGATACACATACTAGTTTTAATAAACATTATTAACGATAACAGAGCTAACGATATTAAAGAAAACATCTGTAATACTTAAGTATACAAACAGAAAAAAAATGTAAAATATACCTTAATACTTTGTTGATGCCTCCCTTAGCTGCTATAACTGCCTGAATACGTACGTACATACTGGTCGTTGAGGCTGCATATACCATATTGCGTTATGCTTTCCCATTCTTCTTTAAGAACCAAGCAAAGTTCATTTTTTAATGAAGCTGCCGAAGCTGATACAGCTCCATGACTTCTAACCCTCCTGCCAAGCATTTCACAAACGTCAAACATGATGGTCAGTTCATAGTAGTATATAGTTCACAATAATCACCAAGAGCCGGCTTATCATATTGAAAAATAACTTCAAAAAGAAATGATAATTGAAAAAATTGCAAATTGTTGGTGGCAAGTTCATTTATCAAAAAATTAACCAAAGCATGTATTGACATGATCCAAAAAAACAAAATGCTCAGGAGACATGGTTCTGACTGTAAAATTCTATTTTAGGAAAATTTACACACGAAATTATTGCACAGGGTGTTTTAAAGTTAGGGTAAAAAACAACCCCTCAATTAACCCTGTATAATGTGCCTGATACTAAAGTTTATAAAAAACTGAGTTTACGAATTAAAGTTGATATAATTATATACAGCTTGCTAAAAAAAATCATGAAAATAGGGCCAACAATAACAAAAATATAACACTTTAAATTTGGATTTTTCCGTTGCGTTTTTTTTTGCATCTGAGTGTATTAAGTTGTCTCATATTTACCCTTACCTATGTCTCATTATTACCCTTGTGTGTGTCTTAAATTTACCCCTCCAACAAACTAGCTTCTCATACAAACAGGACATGCCTTTCTAGACTCTATACCGTAACCTATCTACGCACGCGACGACAGGAGTCGAACCCTTACTACTTCATACTGATGTCACCTGACAAATATTTGATAGGTACTCAGTTTCACAATAAAAACTAGAGATTCCTTATAGTCTAAGAGCTAGCAACGTTTTCGAGAAAGTATTTTAAGACGTCTGGCTCTTTGATATATCTTTTATTATCCTCTCTGGAACAGCGTGCAGGCCGTCTGGCTGCCCATACACGTTGGGTTCACTACTGCGCATCCAAAGAAGATCCTCTATTTTTTACTTAGCGCTTTAAATTCTAGTATTGAATTAAAATCGAGCAAATCTCCATTAGCTCGGCGCGTAGAGCTTTCGCCTATGAAGCGCAGGTCAGTGGTTGGATACCGGCTGGGGGTGCAACTTTTTTATTTTTTTTTTTCGTTTATATTCTGATAGTAAAGTATTAAATATTTGCTTTTTATCACTAGAACGGATAGCGTTTATGGGTTTATGATCCGTAGTGTATATAAGTAGAATTTGATACTTTCATTTGTTTTGAAGGATTATTGTGGTAATTAATTATTAGATAGGTTTAGGATGGTCTGGCTGCCGCGCCGGTAGGTTGCGTTCACTACTGCGCATCACATGGGTACAGGTTGTCTCATTTTCGTGCGTTTTTTGAGATTTGGGATATCTGGGATTTCTCGGGAGATACAATGATGCGTTTTTTTTTCACATTACTTTGCTAGTTTTTTATGTAACTAAATATTCTACCCCTAGATTTGCGCATTTTCTACACATTAACATTAATCAATCTTGTTTAAAAATTATTATTATTTTATTTAATTTAATTCAACCAGATAATTTTGTTTTCCATCGTTATCTTAACAAACTGAACTGTTAAAAAAAGGATTATTAAAATGATTATTAAAATAATAAACAACAGCTGAAAAAAATTTTGGAAGACAGACAGGCAGAAATTACCTTAATAAAGCATTAAAATGTTAATTTTTATATGTATATTATGTTTAAATCTTTAAAATGAATAGCCTCTCTTTGTGTTTCTAGGTGAAGCTTTTGGTACTCTGGTCATATCTAATCTCACACGTTCAGACGATGGTTTATACCAATGCATAGCTGAAAATACACCAGGCACCGCATACAGAAATGGACACATAACAGTTTTGTTCAAACCCACATTCAATCGGACCAGAGATTTGCCCCCAGTTTGGAGCTGGGAAAATAGACCTGGAAACCTATCGTGTTTACCAGAAGCCATACCAAATGCTACCGTGGTGTGGAGGTGGAACCAAATTGAGATTTCTGAAGAGAATTTTAACAATGGGAGGCTGCAAAGGAACATATTTGAAGTTATCGGTAGCAGCCCGCGATCTTTTCTCATAGTCAAACCACATAATCAACCTAGGTGAGTTATAGATGTAAAGTATACCGAGCTGGCAACGGTTACTTTTGGGTCGGCATTTACATGTGTGGAAGTAAATTGCATAGGGATCTTATTAAGTCGGAGTGAGAGAAATGCGACCGACCGACGAGATGCAGAAATATTAACAAAGTTCTTGAAAAAACTACAATCTATTATTTCTAATAGATTTCGAGATATGGATTTTTGAATTCAGAGTTCTAATAGCGCGACCACTATCGAACACCCACTCAATTCCACTTATTTTTACCAAAAATACAAGTGTTTCTAGCTTGCACTTAAAAAAATTCAAGCTATAGGGAAAATTACAACGATTCGTTAATAAATGAACAAATTAAGTATCACGAGACGTAATTAAATCGTGAAGCTGAACGCATGACTTACACCTTTCCCTAGAACTTTAAGTACTGACAGAGGTATTAGCTTTGTTCGGGTTCTTGTTATCACCGATTCTGAACCGTCCTAGAACTCTGCAGCGCATGCGCAAATGAAATAATGTCTTCATATTTCCTTCTGCGCATACGCATCACAGTTCTAGGACGGTTCAGAATCGGTAATAAGAGAAACCCGAAGTAAGCTATTGATTGGGTCGACCGGTCGACTGCGACAAATCTGCTATATCCCCTTCCACGTCTCTTAGCGATGTGCACAGTTTCTCGGTTTATTTCATATGTTTGGCAACGTGTTTACTGTCCTCTCTTTGTTCGGTACATTATAAACGCATTGTACTCTTCTTACATACGGAAATCTCGACCCAAGACTAATCTTTGCAAGCCCTTAGTATAAAGCATTTCATTAATAAATTTATCATTATTTGTTTATTAAATAGTTGTGATGTAGAGTACCTCAAAACATTGTTATTTTGTATGATTCCATTTGTAGAAATTGTAATTATTATATCAAACTCCAAGGTTAAAGTTGTACAATTCCTTATTTAATGAGCAGACTTTCTTATGTACCAGATCTATACCCATCCAGCACTTTTTTTCTATTTCTATGGATATGGAGATATGTATACAATACTATATTGGTAAAATTATATTGTACAGGGTGGCTCGAATTCGACGCTCATCATTGGAAATTCGGAAACCGTAAGAAATACAGGATCGGTTAAATGGAGGCAAAGTTGCGCAGTTTGATGCTCAATAAAATGCCGTATTGCATTTTGAAAAATTCCGAATACTTCCGAATATATTCGAAAAAAAACGGAATTTCAATTTTGTTTTCTATCGTTTCCTGGCTTTATTTGTTAAGATAACTTAAAATGAAAAACACATTTTCATGGCCACTTTTTCTGCTCTTTAACTCTGTGTGATTAAATATTGACTCTGACGTTTCGGCTTCTGGCGGTCAACATCAACTTAATTTTTTTTGAATTCGGACCTGATTTTTTTTCAAATTAATTAAATCCTTTCATCACTCTTAAAACACTATACGGGTGCTTCTCAAAAGTGGCTCACCCATATAACTTTTTTATTTTTTAGATAAAACAACGAGATTTGGTATACTAGTATATAAGATAAATTACGATTAATTGACGTATTCAATTATTGTTTTCGGTCACTTCAGGTTTCACCGGAAATGACTACAACTTTTGGTTTTTAAATGGCACCCTCGGTATTTTTTACTTTATTCCATAGAAAATGACACTCTGAATAGAATGACATCATATGTCAACTTTTGACATTTTCGCATATGGTTTATTTGGAATTGTAACATGCTGTTCATAACGACAATTTGACTCGAAATACCAAGCGTTTGGTATCAAATCATTCGTAAAAGAATGCTTTTCCCAAATACGCGAATGGGCCACCCCCGTTCTATTTGAAAAAATTGAGATATGATTGAAAATACGACTTGGGCATCTTTTAACCCTCCAGGACAAGATAATAAAAACATTAGACGATCAAATCTATTTTTCCAAGGCTCCTTGCTTAAAAATTTGTGTTTTAACACAGCTATGGCGCTCTAGATTACAACTTAAAACACAATTTGTTTTTGTGCGAATATGTCAAAAATTGATTCATGTCATTCGATTCAGAATGTCATTTTCTATCGAACAAAGTAAGAAAATACATGGTGTCATTTAAAATTCAAAAGTTGTAGTCATTTCCGGTGAAACAGGAAGTGACCAAAAACAGTTGAATACGTCAATCAAACCTAATTAATGTCATATACTAACATATCAAATCTCGTTTTATTATCTGAAAAAATAAAAAAGTTATAGGGGTGAGCCACTTTTGAGACGCACCCGGTATATAGAGACGCACCCTGTATATATAATCACTTTGATATTTGCCGACGTTTCGTACAGAAAATTCCAGCACCAGAATATTTTATGCAAAAAAAATAAAGAATAAAAACGCAATACGGCATTTTATTGAGCATCAAATTGCGCAACTTTGCCTCCATTTTACCGGTCCTGTATCTCTTACGGTTTCCGAAATCCCAATGATGAGCGTCGAATTCGAGCCACCGTATACATATCTATAAGTCTACATACAAATAATATTTATTAACCTTTCTAGTTGATTATGATTGATATGAAGACTATCATGAGTTTTAAATCAGCTGTAATGAAATAAAGTATATTATTTAACAAATATAAATCATACTTTTACTCATTCTATTATGTTTAGTGAAGAAAATGTTAAAAACTCTGCATTAATTTTTTTTCTAGAATTATTTATTTTTTGATAATTCGCTTTTAACTAAATGTTATATCGATAAAACCATAAAACTAGTATTTAGTCCAGTCCTATTGTTTCTACATTCCCTGCATTGCATGCATATAATCCAACTGGTACATTCCTATTTCATAATTACCATAACTCCATATCCGAGCCGCCTACCTATGCATATTGCATCTCTTATACATAAACACCAATGGAATATTCTCTCTGGGATAGGGGTACACGCAACGGTAAAGAGGAGTGAATGAATATATGTCTCTGTTCTGGAACCTCTACAGCAAATACCGGTGCATACTATACATAGCCAGGAATTCACACTACGCTTAAATACATCTCTTATAAACAGCATCCACTAATCGAAAATTCTCTGTAGGCTATTCTCTATAAGCTTAGGGATGGGAACTATCTATCGATAAATTTTAATTTTGATATAGCGGAATAAAATATCGATTATTTGTTTAAAGGCGGTAGACAATACTTCGATTGAAAATAAATCATTATGTTGAACTTATATTTTCTTTATTTGTTGGTCAAGTCTTTAATAATTCTGTACTCGGCGCTATGCAAAATTTTGCAATATACAGGGTGGTCCGAACTGTATTCCGGAAACTTTGTATAAAATTCGTATAAATGAATGTATGTCCTAAAATCTTTAGTTTCGGAGATACAGGGTGTAGAAGTTTCATTTTTATTTTGATTTTTTCCAAATAATTTATGAAGTAACGTCAATATTTCGATAAAAATTGGTGTATGGAAGTTTTTTGAGATGAAAAATTAGAATATGACTCCTACTACAGGTACCGACGAAAAGTTATTACTCTTCAAAACAGTTAAAACACATGTAGGTGGCGCCACCTAGAAATGGGAGTCATATTGACATCATAATCAAATTTCTCATGTCAAAAAACACCCATCCACCAATTTTCATCCAAATATTGACGTTACTTTAGAAATTATTTGGAAAAAATCGAAATAAAAATGAAACTTCTACACCCTGTATATCCGAAACTAAGCATTTTAGGACATACATTTATACGAACTTTTTTACTCATTTTTATCTGCAGAATATGCTGCCGAAGTTTCCGGAATACAGTTCGGACCACCCCTGTATATCGATATTTAAAAATATCGATATTTTTACACATGACTAATATAAACATAATTCACTGTAAATAGAAAGAATTGAATGAAAATATATCTGTATTTTGCAGTCTCTACACCAAATATGAGTGTATAGCCAGGAATCAATTGGGCGAGGCCTCGGTCAAAGTCGAGTTGAAGCAAGCTTTCGTACCAGGTCCAATAAATCAGGTTAGGGCGCACAGTATCACGGCGACGACAGTGAAATTCTCGATAATGCCGCCCAGCAACTACGACGGACTCCCAATACGGTCATATACTGTGCAGTACAAACCGGAGAGACAGATTTATTGGGATGGGGCATCGATGCATACCTGGAGTAATGGTAAGTGAATAGTAGGAATATTGTATCGATATTTGTTCGAACGGTATCGATTTTTTACTAGGTATTGTTTCTTTTATAGTAGGTATAATATCTTACTTGTGTAAAATCGCTATTTTAGGGGCTTACTCAACCGGGTCTCACAATGCAAATTCACCTCAAATATCCATTTAGTTGGTCATTGGCAAGCACTCTCTCATTGTACTCACGACTCAAGACTCACCCGGGGGTACTCCGCCCCCTAGCCACTGACATCACTGATATTCTATTCAATATATCACATTCCATACCTTCCATCTAATTCAAATATTATTCGGATCTATTGGTTAATAATCTTCAACAACTAGCTAGTGTCACCTGAAATAGTATAGGGGCTTCCCCTGGACGCAACTCTGCCGCTAAACAGATTCGCATCCCAATCGAATAGGCTATTGGGTAGCTCACTATCCCAACGCCGCATCGTCAATCGAGAAGACATTATGGAGACCTCAAACTCTCAAGACCAACTCGAAGGCTGGACGTCACAAGAGGTTTTCTTATCGTGGTCAAACGACCACGTTGGCTTACAGTCAAATGACTTGCAACTATATTAGTCAAAAGACTCGCAACCTCCATTTGTCAGCACTGTGACAAAACACAACACTACACAGCCGGCCGGCCTATCAACAACTGACTGACCTGCCGCGCGCCCGTGCACTTGTGTCTAGCCCTAGCAGGCAACTATTAAGCCCGACCAATCACGTTAGAGTTTTTGACAAACACAAATGAATTAACACCCTTCAAATAACCACGCTAACCAACCTGATTGGTCAAGCTTAAAAGTTGACTGCTAGGACTAGACACTTCTCGCCCGTGCAAGCTAAGCCTCCTCTTACATCACAATTTTACCTGATCACAAATATTTACATCGCTTGCCAATGAATCATACTGTTTGCTCTAATCGACTTTCATATAGAGTGTTTTAGGATTACTAGATAAATAAATAGAGAGTTTCTGAAGGAAAGCATATTTTTTATTAGAATAGTGAATAAATAAAAGCATTATTATAACAAACTTATTTTCACAAGTTTTACATACTCTCGAACTAAAAGCCCAGTTAAATTCAATTATTCTATAAATGATGCAACATTCAACAGACTATCGGTCATAAAGGATCTAGGAGTTATTTTCGACGAAAGATTCTCCTTTATTCCTCACATCGATCAAGTGGTAGTTCACGCCTCTAGAACACTCGGCTTTGTATTACGTAACAGTAAGCATTTTTCCAATTTATCAACCATCAAAATACTGTATTTCTCTTATGTGAGGTCGAAGCTTGATTATGGCTCGATTATCTGGTCCCCTATTTATAATTGTCATGTACAATCTGTTGAGTCTGTTCAACGGCGATTTCTAAAATACGCCATGTTTAGAGAAGACGGAATCTATCCTCAACGGGGTATAGATCATGCGCATATTTTGGATATATTTGGTGAATTGCCGTTAAGTACACGTCGTGACTTGCAGATGTATTTTCTGTACAAGCTGGCAAATTTTTAAATTGATTCTCCATCTCTGCTCGAGCGACTGCCATTTCTTGTACCTCGTTTAGGCGCTAGAGAGCAACCTGTTTTTTTTTTCTTGCTTTTACAAGATCTAAAGGCCCCAGTACACGTTTGGCCAACTAGTTGGACCAATGAGTTGGGCCAAAAATACGTACAGTGCTTCATATTGCTGCAGAGTCCGATTTACAGAATGTGTCAGAATCTTAATAGAATTTCCACTGCAGTAGATGCATTTCATGACAGTCTCCCCACTATTCTCGAAACATTCTGTGATATTGCTGGCCATCCTGTTTAGTCTGTGTTTAGTTAATTAATTTTTATATTTTATTTTTGTGTTTTTGTATTTTAGTGTAGTATTTTTAAAACATATTGTAATTATTTATTATTTTTTAATCTTATTTGTTTACCTATTGTTTCGAATTTCCTGTTAGTGGACTTCGGCCTGTAGGAAATAAACGACTATTTATTTATTTATTTATTTATTTATTTATTTATTTATAATATAGAACACGTTATTTAAGTAGTAATATTTCCATGTAGAATTCAGGAAGCAATGCAATCTTTGAATAAAAAAAATAAGAAAGGCGCATATGAAAAACATAGTTTGAGCGCGATGGGGATCCAAAATGGTCGACTTAGATTCTAGTTTATCAGTGCCTTTCCAATTTTATTCTAAACATCTAAAAATGTAATGTAGGGCAGACTCAATAATTTTGTTTTATTTTACGTTGTCAGTAAAAGTTAGTGGTTATTAAAATTATTATTATAAAAATATATTTCTAATAAAAATAGATTATAATAATTATTTAATAACACAACTGTTAGATACGTTACTAAAGCACGTCAGTAAAACTGACGTATACTGGGTGTGTCTCAAAAGTGGCTCACCTCTATAACTTTTTTATTTTTTTAGTTAAAAAAACGAGATTTGGTATGTTAGTATATGAAATAAATTAGGATTGATTGACGTATTCAATTGTTTTCGGTCACTTCCTATTTCACCGGAAATAACTACAACTTTTGATTTTTAAATGGCACATTCGATAGTTTTTACTTTAATCGATAGAAAATAACACTCTGAATTGAATGACATATGATATGTCAACTTTTGACATTTTCGCATATGGTTTATTTGAAATTATAACTTGCGGTTCGTAACGAAAATTTGACTCGAAATACCAAATGTGTGGTATCAAATTATTCGTAAAAAAATGCTTTTTACAAATATGATAATGAGCCACCCTCGTTCCGTTTGAAAAAATTGAGATATGATTAAAAATACGATTTAAGCATTTTCTAACTGGCCAGGACATGACACTAAAAATATTAGACGATCAAATCAATGTTGATTAAGAATTAATGTTTTTAACATAGCCATGGCACTCTAGTGTGAATTTTAAAATACGATTTTTTATTAAGCGAGAATGTCAAAAGTTGACATATGATATTTCATTCTGTTCAGAATGTGATTTTCTATCGTATAAAGTAGAGAAGAAAGAAATAAAGTAAGACATTAATTAAATCGAATTGTTTTAAGAGATATTTTCAAAAGTCAATAACTCGGAAACGGTTGGTTTGAGGTACATTGTGTGTATCTCGATTTTTTCTTAGAATTGACGGAAAAACCGAAATATACAATATTATACAGGGAGTTCCCTTTAAAAAAATAAAACTTTGATGTGTCACGACTTTATGACCGACCCTATATACTTAAATGTATTACCCGCTAATAAATATTTAAAAACCCCTATATTTAACTTTTTGCGGTACCTCTTATATTTTACCTAATAATCGACCGTTCCCCTACATATCAGCGACCCTTATTTCCCTCGCGTTTTAATCATTTTGTAGGTCTGCTGCACAACACAACCAACTATTTTACAGCCTTTTTGATATATCGCAATAGTATCACTGTTAAAATTAACAGTGACCAACACTTTATTATGTTCTAACACAATTTCCTTCTACATTTACTACTTCTAAACTTCTAAACAACAACTGTAGAATAAATACTAAATAACATAAAATAAGCTTAGTAATGACAAACAAATCTAGAAATTTTAAAATCCAACACAACAACCAAGGATGGGGACCTACAATATAAATTCTATCCACCATTCATGAATACATGGATTGTATTCATGTTCAGTATTCTTGTTGATTGAGGTAATAAAAGATGCGCAACCTTACGGGCGATTTCGTGGCACAAAACCTGTCCGAGATGCAGCTGGCGTTACTGTCAACCTGTCCGATATTTTGATTAGCCCTGCGCCGCTGCGCGCTGATCGTTTACAGCGCAGCGGATAAAGAATACTGTACCGTAGTTCGGCTTTTAGTCGACAGAGTGAGTGGTTGTCTGATACGGTGTTGCCAGAACTACTGATAAATCCGTAGATTTACGGATTTTGAGTACAATATGTTAATAGTATGGATAGTTTCTATCATTAAGCAATTTAATATAATATATGATTAAACAAAGAACAACGTCAGAGTTGGCTTGGAAATGAAGATTGCTGTTATCTAATATGTAAAATATTATGGTAAATTCTAAATAATCGTCATTTCCAAGCCAACTAAACTACTTTTTTTGATCATACTGACATATCATTTTGACATATTTTTATTAAGTTTTTTTTATTTTTGTTGTTTATTTTATTACAGTTGAGGGTTGGAACCTTTGGTGTTACACAGCAAAATAAAAACACTAAATCACCACAATACACCAAAACACTTTTACTTTTACACTGGACGCGCGTTTCGCTAACCATGCATCATCAGCAGATGATTATAAACTAAAGTATAATCTACAAGTTGAGCGTTTATATACTCGCTCAGTGGGCACCGAGTGGGCGTGGCAAAATCTAGCCAACCGAGTCAGAGCCAACTGAGCGTAACAGTTAGATTTCCGCCACTAGAGTAGTAGGAACAAAGAACTTGAAGGAATTGGACCGTTGACTCTGTTCATACTATCTTTACATTTATTAACTCTGATGCTTTCATATGCATCTAATTGCCTGTAATTTGAGAATTTTAAATTATTAAGATCTATACAATGTTCATTATCAACAATATGTTCGGCAACGCAAGATTTATCCGCTCTACCATATCTTATCTGAGCTAAATGTTCTTTAAATCTAGTTAATATTGATCTTCTAGTTTGCCCAACATATTTCTGATTACAATCTTTACAAGAAATTTCATAAATACCCGACCTTTCCAGTGGAGGTGTTTTAACTTTTGGATTACCTAATAATTATTGTAATTTATTATGAGCACTATACACAAGTTTATAATTGACATTCTTAAAAATTCCTTTTAGACCACGGGATAACTCTCTATCAAACGGTATCGAAAAATATTTAGACGTATCTTTCTCCACTTGAAAAGTCGAATTTTCAGAAATCATTAACCTATACCTACGTTTTCTAATTAATTTATCAACTAGTGTTGAAACTGCTA